CATAACTCTGAATGATAATATTATGCCATCACCGTTTTATGAAGTTTTATCTTTTTCAAAACTTCTTTTTACAACCGGACATGTTATATCAGACTGTCTGTCATTTTAACGACATACAGTTTTCCGTAGTCCTCATTTTTGCCTTTACCACATCCAATTGATAAATATCCTTCACGGTCAAAGCATACACTACAAGGCCTGGTGATGCCCAAGTCTTTGAAAATGAACTGCAGTCCAAGTAAATCTCCTTTCTAATTTAGTACATGTACTGCATTGTTATCACTTGGCGTAATAGTAATTCCCTCTGGTCGAAATGTCTATGAATCCTTTTGCCCGTATTAGGTAAACTTTAAGCGACCATTTCCATCTACAGCTACTATTCTACCGTTGTGGTCACTGTCAAGTTTATCAATAACATAGACATTTTTAGAATCAGTGTGGATGCGTGCTACACAACTGAATAGTTTATTCCCTTTTTTGTCGAATTCTACTGTAACTTTCCGTTGATAATATAAACCGAGAATTATAACTTGTCTGACTGAAAAGTCGTGAACTGGAAACGGTAGTCCTGGTTCTCGTAATCCACCTATAACTTCATTACCTTTGTTTACGTGTATGGCCAATAACGTCATTGGACAAGTATCTAAAAAACAGTCTTGACTTCACCCGCAGGTGATAAAAATGGCATCTTGTGGTCACGATATTCAATTAAAAGTATTTCACCGTCTTTATTTATTGCAAAGTCAAATATTTTTCTCTTCAACGTCTGCAATATCTTTATTGATGATATAAAGTTTTCCTTTTAACAGTTGATGCATTTCAGACGTTGGACCGTTATAGCTGAAGTAAAGTAAATCGTCATTTGAGGAAAGTAAAGTATGAACAGCATGCAGAGTCGTTGAGTATGAATTGAAAACTGATGAAATAACTGTTGACGTTACCTCCTGGGAACCTAGTGATGGTTTGTTGATGTCCTGAATGGAGACAACGTCATGATCTTGTGTATATTGAAGTCCTTGGTGGACAGTTACTTTACAGGAGTTACACATGCGAATATTGCAATCTTCACATTTCCATTTAATTTCTTTTCCTTTACAGAAATAACACGAAACTGGCACTTGAGCTTTTCTTATTCTTGCGGATTCCATTGATGTGTCACGGAATAGAAGTTCCTTTATAATACAAGTTCCAAATGGAAACATTATTCTGGAATAATATTTCCACTGGAATAAATATTACAGTAAATGTTTCTAACGGAATAAATGGTATGGAATATTTGTTCCAACAGGAACAAATATTATGACATTGTTTATAACAAAGTTTCCAGTGGAACTTCTGTTAGGCGGAACCAATATACGTTGACAGATGTCGCTATTTCTACAATTAAACAATGCAACAAAACGTCACCTGTACGACTTTCTTATTCGTTGTTAATAGATAAATAGTGTCAAAGATTAATACTTAGCTATCATGCAATGTAATACCTTTTAACGTTTGGTGTTCCCACGTTCTATAGATAAAATATGATGTTTAATATAAATTCTCAAGACCAGTGCAACGATACCGATAAAGTCTCAAGACTAGTGCAACGATACCGATAAAGTCTCAAGACTAGTACAACGATACCGATAAAGTCTCAAGTCCAGTGCAACGAAACTGATAAAGTCTCAAGACCGATAAAGTCTCAAGACTTGTACAACGATACCGATAAAGTCTCAAGACCAGTTCGACAAAGTCTAATGTCCAGTCCAACGATACCGATAAAGTATCAAGACTAGTGCACCGATACCGATAAAATCACAAGTCCAGTTCGACAAGGTTTCAAGTCCAGTGCAACGATACCGATAAAGTATCAAGACTAGTACAACGATACCGATAAAGTCTCAAGTCCAGTGCAACGATACCGATAAAGTCTCAAAACTAGTACAACGATACCGATAAAGTCTCAAGACTTGTACAACGATACCGATAAAGTCTCAAGACCAGTTCGAAAAAGTCTAATGCCCAGTCCAGCGATACCGATAAAGTATCAAGACTAGTGCAACGATACCGAAAAAATCTCAAGACCAGTGCAACGATACCGATAAAGTCTCAAGACTAGTGCAACGATACCGCTAAAGTCTCAAGAACAGTTCGACAAAGTCTCAAGTCCAGTGCAACGATACCGATAAAGTCTCAAGACTATTGCAACGAAACCGATAAAATCTCAAGACCAGTGCAACGATACCGATAAAGTCTCAAGACTTGTGCAACGATACCGCTAAAGTCTCAAGACCAGTTCTACAAAGTCTCAAGTCCAGTGCAACGATACCGATAAAGTCTTAAGACTAATGCAACGATACCGATAAAGTATCAAGACCAGTGCAACGATACCGATAAAGTCTCAAGACCAGTTCGACAAAGTCTAAAGTCCAGTGCAACGATACCGACAAAGTTTCAAGACTATTACAACGATAGTTCGACAAAGTCTCAAGTCCAGTTCAACGATACCGATAAAGTCTCAAGACTAGTGCAACGATACCGATAAAGTTTCAAGACAAGTGCAACGATACCGATAAAGTATCAAGACCAGTCCGACAAAGTCTAAAGACCAGTGCAACGATACCGATAAAGTCTCAAGACTAGTGCATCGATAACGATAAAGTCTCAAGACTAGTGCAACGATACCGATAAAGTCTCAAAACCAGTGCAACGATACCGATAAAGTGTCAAGACTTAATCAACGATACCGCTAAAGTTTCAATACAAGTTCGACAAAGTCTCAAGTCCAGTGCAACGATACCGATAAAGTCTCAAGACTAGTGCAAAGATACCGATAAAATCGCAAGACCAGTGCAATGATACCGATAAAGTCTCAAGACTTGTGTAACGATACCGCTAAAGTCTCAAGACCAGTTCGACAAAGTCTCAAGTCCAGTGCAACGATACCGATAAAATTTCAAGACTAGTGCAACGATACCGATAAAGTCTCAAGACTTGTGCAACGATACCGCTAAAGTCTCAATACCAGTTCGACAAAGTCTCAAGTCCAGTGCAACGATACCGACAAAGTCTTAAGACCAGTGCAACGATACCGATAAAGTCTCAAGACTAGTGCAAAGATAAGGATAAAGTCTCAAGACTAGTGCAACGATACCGATAAAGTCTCTCAAGACTAGTGCAACGATATTAATAAAGTCTCAAGACTAGTGCAACGATACTAATAAAATCTCAAAACTAGTGCAATGATATTAATAAAGTCTCAAGACTAGTGCAACGATACCGTTAAAGAGAAAAACAAAATTTATAACCGCATCAAAATTATGAAGTATTCACATTAAAAAAATATTCACCGTCAAATATTTAAAAATTTAGTTAAAAATACCATAGAAATCCCATTATGCATTTAAAATCCAAACTGGCTGTGGTCTATTAGTGATGTTCTATCTAACCACTTGCAATATGTGTAACATTCTAATGGTAACATGGACAACAAATCACAATACGTATGCATGCTCTGTATAACCTCATTTCCCGAGGGGCATGACAATGAGTCTTAATTTTAGGCTTCAAACGCGTGCTTTTGTGAAAAAAAGAAAATACCAATAGAAGGTAGAAATCTTGTAGGTAAATTTAGAAAAATGCTTCGGACGCACGAAATTAATAAAGTGTTGTATTCATTTAGGAGAATGTGGGAAAACTAGTACTCTTATATACTTTGTATTAGGTTGACTTTTGCGTACCCGTGTCAGGTGTAGGCAGTCATCTTTTGAACGCTGTTTTTGGATTTAGGCGTATAATACATTGCTGAGTTTGAATAACTACAGCTCGTACATTTACGATAAAAATTTTAAACACATGGAAATATTTGTATAAGAAAAATTGACAAAGCTCCGATTTTTTGTAAATTTTCTTAAAGTAAAATGATGGTACTATGAATACTATGAACAAACTCAATATGAAGATGATCATACTATCCTTTGACTTCAATTTCAGAATCATGAAGTACTTCTATCTCGCATAACTTTCTTGTTCTGGTTTTTATTATAAAAGTATCAAATTGAGAAAATAGTAGTATTGTCGCCAATGAAAGAACCAATCTAAGTTAAATCTAGATCTCTGATTTTTTTATCCTCATATATACGAGCAGGCGAGTTAATATAGATATGAATTTTAATTGGATTGAGGAACTGCCTATCCTCAAACATCTTCTACGTATAATTTCTCCAGAAGAATTTACTGGCTGAATAGTTTTTCCAAAGTTTTCCAAATTTATAATGATTGCCCCGGATATAACATACGGACATTTCTGAAAACAATTGTGTTATTTAATGTTTTGATACCTAAAGTCGTGAAAGGAGTCTATTGTTGCAGGGATTTTCTAGTTTACATGTACGTTGTTGTTCATATTAAAATTGCCATACTCCGTCATTGATATATGCATTAAAAGATATTACGCATAATATTGCTTTTCTTTGAGAGCTAGAAAGTGAGATAAAAAGGAATGAAACTAGGATTATTAACCTTGACCCTTTTCGGAATTTGCTAGAATAAATCCAATATAACAAATAAATGCAAAAAAAATGTAATTTCAGTCCCTGTTATTAAATAACAGAATAAGTCATTGAAAAAAATCTTTTGACGTAAACATTTCAAAATTAACTTTTTAGCATACATTATTTGTAAGAAGTCATCAGTTATGTCCTGTTTTGACACTTACACTTTGTTTATAAATATTTACCCTTGAAAATATGTCAGAAATAAAATAACTATTGTTAATCATAAAACTATGCAAGCGACACACTTGTGTCATAAGTGTCTTTTTGATATATATAACCCCAATTTTGAACTTCTGATATTATTGTCGGAAAGATAAGAACACGAAGTGGCCAAATTTGACATCAATTGAAGTGACGTGGTTATTGCTAACCAGAATTTGTACATACTAATGAGTTTGATTTATTTACATTTTTTTCAGATTAACCCTTAAGTGATGTGTTTCTCTTCATCCCTTCCATTTCTCTTTGTAATTAATGTAAGGGATTAGTTGACTTGGTCAGATGATGTAGCTCGTTAAGTATGTCAAGAGATTTGTGGTTTCTGATTTGTATATAAAGTCGGAAATACAAGCTAGGGTCACTTAAGTTTTCTTTTGTCTTCAATAATCTACAAAATGAAAAACTTGTTTGTTCTTTTGTTGGTCGTTCTGGTAGCTACAGTCACTGCTAAAAAGGGATGGAAACTCCGACAGCGACAACGTGAGTATCAAGTTTCAAGTTTAACAAGCATTTCAATAAGTTTAACAGGCATTTCAATAAGTTTAACAAGCATTTCAATAAGTTTAACAAGCATTTCAATTACCGGAATTACTACATTGTGCACAAAGTAACGATTAGTTAAAATAACTCAACATCAAAAACAGCTGACCTTAAAAATATATAAAATAAAACACCATTATTAAAGAAAATGTTTAATCTAATTTTACAAATGAACAATTAAAATAACAATTTATAAATTTGGAGCGTCTGTGCCGCTTTTCAATATTAACGCACAAACCCAAAGGCGTATAACAACATGAATACATAAAAAGCTGCATGACCAAAAGGGGAATACAAAGAATGGTTAAATGTATTTAAGGTCAACCTTGCTGGAGAGAGTTGGGACATTTGCTTCTTTATAGTTTCTAAATTAATGTAGAATTTAAGAAAAGTAAGTAATACATTATGTCAGTACCGAAGAACTCCAATAAGAATCATTTTATGCAAAAAGATATAAAATATAACAATATATTTTGAATTATTATAAAGGATAACCATTGAATATATAATGTATCAAAATATTAGTAATTAAACAAAATAAGACTTTTGTTTACCTTAAGTTTTTATTTGAATCCTTAAATATGAACAAAACAACTTTTCAGGGTGCAAATATGATAAAGGTGTCTGGAGTGAATGTGACACAACAACAAATACCGTCAGCAGAGTTTTGAATCTAAAATCCGGCGAGGAAGGATGCCAACAGACACTGAACCAAAGTATAACATGCGATAGGTTTGAAAGGCTACAAGCATGGAAAGTAAAAAAGAGGAAAGTAGAAGAGAACGGCAGGGAATGAAACAACAAAGAAAAGACCAAAAACAAGAGATGAAAAAGAATAAAAAGCTTGTAAAAATGCAACTTAAAAGTAGGTAAATATATGGAAGTATAAAACTTTTATCTTACTCAAACTGTATTGTTACTTTTGAAAATAATCTAAACCTGGGCTTTCTGACGCAGGTATTGGCTACTACAAAAAATTGCTTCCCAATAAATTGAGCTTTATAATTCATTTCGTTTAACGTAAGTATTGTATAGACACATTTGAAATACATTGTAAAAATAAGTAATTAAAAGTAATTAAGCAAAATAAAAAAATATCTTACGAACCCTCTTATCTTTGAAGAATCCAATTTCTACTTCATTTAATCCAAGTAAAAGTAACTCTCTGTTAAATATAAGTAATGCTGAAATTTTTCATCTGACTATTCAATCCCTGTTAGCTTTAACACGATTTGTTAATATAATGCATATAGTTGGAACTGTTTGTTTGTTTTCATTTTAATTATCTATAGTTCTACATGGATTTATTTCTTAAAAATTTGTGGCAAGGTTTTCCGTGATATTGGGAACAAAACATGATGGAAAAATAAAGGACACCCACTTCGTTTTGCCACTATAGCAACCTCAGTCTCGTGTTTTTTTTTCCAAAATAGAATTTATTTGGTTGTTATTTCAAGATACAAATATTCCATAAGCATTGAAGTCAGAACCAGAATATTTTATTGAGAAATATTATTTTTATATGACAAGTGTATTATAACTCAACTTCTGTGATAAGAATGACTCGTCCATTTGATTGTGCGGGATGCATAAATACCTAGCCACGTTCGGTCGGAAAGAGAACGTTCAGTCCAATGCCTAATGAAAAAACCGAAATAGACACTCACATTAAAGGACCCTTAAAAAACTGTTTGATTGGTACGTAGATGGTCTCAAAATGTCTTCCACTATCAAACATACTCTCTTTTGCCGTCTCGTCCTTCATTCTAGTAGACCCATTTTGCAGAATCTTTTCCCTTCGAATTATTGTTAATTTCTGCTCCTCCTGGAAATGCATGAGACATTAGACACTGGACTACAAGAAAAAAACATCAATCATTATCATATTAAGAGCTTGTCTCACAGAAAACCATGCAAAATTCAAAAAATCGTCAAGGTCGATGGTAAAAACTTGTCTGGTCAATTTAGATTTTTAAGACGTAAGGTACATAAGAAATAAAAAAATCCATATTAGACGCCTCTAATTTGCGCTTGATTTAGTAACAGCCTAATTTGCATATTTGACTGAAATGGCTTGAATTTTTACATACCCATGTCTGATGAAGATGGAAGTGTTCCTCGTGTTGATGGCACCGGATCAAGTGGTCTCTGTTTGCCTTTTTTAATTTTTTGGTTGGTCCTGGCTGATGTAAAACCTTTCTCGGAGCATTACGAGGCCTCTTCGGTGGTTTCATATCTAAATAATAGAATATGACATGCGAAAACACCGCACAAAAAAAACTAATTGCTTCCTGTATAGACCTGTTTTCCCTATTGAAAACAAGAGGCTCTCAAGAGCCTGAATCGCTCACCTGTAATTTTTTGCTTAAATCTTTCATCAATAATTATTTTTGCTTTATATATTAATGAGTTGCTTAAAAATGCCATTTAAATGTTCTTTGTATATGTCATATTTTCTTCAAAAGCCAAAAAATGCATTTTACCCCTATGTTCCATTTTAGCCATAGTGGCTATGTTTCTTGACGTACAAGGAAATAAAACACAAAGTTTATACAAGATACTCTGAAACTCATTCAGCCCAACTTTGGCTGAAATGGATTCAGCAGTTTCATAGAAGATTGTTTAAAGTAAGCAAACTAGATTAGATGAACAAATTGTGAAAAATTGTCTTTAAAGGACAATAACTGCTTTAGGGGTCAATTGACAATTTTGGTCATAAAAAAAATATTTGTAGATCTTACTTTGCTGAACATTTTTGCTGTTTACAGTTTGTCTTTATCTTTAATTATATTTGAGATAATAACCGAAAACTGCAAAATTTCCTTAAAATCATCAATTCAGGGTTAATTACCTAAAAATCAGATACCCGATTTGGCTGATAATTTCAGGGCAGGTAGACCTTGACCTAATGAATACTCTAACTTCTTGTCTGATTTGCTCTAAATGCTTTAGTTTTTGAGATATATGTCAAAAACTGTATTTTACCCTATGTTCTATTTTCAGCCATGGCGGCTATGTTTTCTGAGGAAACAGAAAATAAAACACAAACTTTATTCTAGATAACCCAAGAATCATTCAGCTTAAGTTTAGTTTAATTTGGTTCAGTAGTTTCAGAGGAGAAGATTTTTTAAAGTTTGAAAACATGATAAACAAATTGTGTAAAATTGTCCTTAAGGGTCAATTGACAATTTTGGTCTTATAACTTATTTGTAGATCTTACCTTGCTGAAAATTTTTGCTGTATACAGTTTATCTTTATTTATAATAATATTCAAGATAACCAAAAACTGCAAAATTTCATTAAAATTACCAATTCAGGGGCAATTACCTAAAAATCAGATACCCGATTTGGCTGATAATTACAGGGCAGGTAGACCCTTGACCTAATGAATACTTGAACTTCTTGTCTGATTTGCTCTAAATTTTTTAGTTTTTGAGATATAAGTCAAAAACTGTATTTTACCCTATGTTCTATTTTCAGCCATGGCGGCCATGTTTTCTGAGGAAACAGAAAATAAACCACAAACTTTATTCTAGATAACCTAAGAATCATTCAGCTTAAGTTTAGTTTAATTTAGTTAAGTAGTTTCAGAGGAGAAGATTTTTTAAAGTTTGAAAACATGATGAACAAATTGTGTAAAATTGTCCTTAAAGGGCAATTACTCATTAAGGGGTCAATTGACAATTTTGGTCTTATAACTTATTTGTAGATCTTACCTTGCTGAAAATTTTTGCTGTATACAGTTTATCTTTATTTATAATAATATTCAAGATAACCAAAAACTGCAAAATTTCATTAAAATTACCAATTCAGGGGCAATTACCTAAAAATCAGATACCCGATTTGGCTGATAATTACAGGGCAGGTAGACCCTTGACCTAATGAATACTTGAACTTCTTGTCTGATTTGCTCTAAATTTTTTAGTTTTTGAGATATAAGTCAAAAACTGTATTTTACCCTATGTTCTATTTTCAGCCATGGCGGCCATGTTTTCTGAGGAAACAGAAAATAAACCACAAACTTTATTCTAGATAACCTAAGAATCATTCAGCTTAAGTTTAGTTTAATTTAGTTAAGTAGTTTCAGAGGAGAAGATTTTTTAAAGTTTGAAAACATGATGAACAAATTGTGTAAAATTGTCCTTAAAGGGCAATTACTCATTAAGGGGTCAATTGACAATTTTGGTCTTAAAACTTATTTGTAGATCTTACTTTGCTGAACATTTTTGCTGTATACAGTTTATCTTTAATTATAATAATATTCAAGATAACCAAAAACTGCAAAATTTCCTTAAAATTACCAATGTAGTTGCAGCAATCCAACAATGGGTTGTTAGATTCATCTGAATTGTTAACATTCCAGGGCTGATAGAACTTGACCTAATGAACATTTTTACCTTGTCAGATTTGCTCTAAATTTTTTAGTTTTTGAGATATAAGTCAAAAACTGTATTTTACCCTATGTTCTATTTTCAGCCATGGCGGCCATGTTTTCTGAGGAAACAGAAAATAAAACACAATCTTTATTCTAGATACCCTAAGGATCATTTAGCTAAAGTTTGGTTGGAATTAGTTCAGTAGTTTCAGAGGAGAAGATTTTTAAAAGTTAGAAAACATAAACAAATTGTGTAAAATTGTCCTTAAAGGGCAATAACTCCTTAAGGGGTCAATTGACAATTTTAGTCATATAAAACTTATTTGTAGATCTCACTTTGCTGGACATATTTTCTGTTTACAGTTTATCTTTATCTATAATAATATTCAAGGTAATAACCAGAAACTGCAAAATTTCCTTATAATTACCAATTTAGTGGCAGTAACCCAACAATGGGTTGTTAGATTCATCTGAAAATTTAAGGGCTGATAGAACTTGACCTAATGAACATGTTTACCCATGTCAGACTTGCTCTAAATGCTTTAGTTTTTGAGATATAAACCAAAAACTGCATTTTACCCATATGTTCTATTTTTAGCCATGGCGGCCATGTTTTTTTGACGAAACAGAAAATAAAACACAAACTTTATTCAAGATAGCCTAAGGATCATTCAGCTTAAGTTTGGTTGGAATTGGTTCAGTAGTTTCAGAGAAGATGTTTGAAATAGTTTACACCGGACGGACGACGACGACGGACGCCAAGTGATGGCAAAAGCTCACGGTTCCTCCGGAACGGAGAGCTAAAAATGAATTTTGTCGAATAAATGATACAAGGATTTGTTTCTCGCTGATCTGTACATGGATAAATCGGTGCAAAAATATTTTGGAATTTGGAATTTCTGAACTTACCTTCATCAAGAATACATTTGAGAGCCGGGGATTTATGGATAATTGACGAGCTATGGTTAAATGGGAAACTTTAGATATCAGTAATTCGTTTTTTAAAATGTATGAATGATACAATTGATTTGAATAGTACGTTAGCCATACACACATACTGTCAAGTTACTTTGTCAAAGACAAATGATTTATTAATTTGTAGTATTATTAATAATATGACGATTATTTTTCTAAAGAATGTCGCTATGACCACAGTGACTGGAGTATATGTGATCAAGCAACAAATACAGTAACCAGAAATTTTACTTTGAGAGAAGGAGAACAGGATTGTGAACAATCACATACGATCACCATAACTTGTGACAAATTTAACAGAATACAGGCATGGAAAGCAAAGAAAATGGACCGTAAACAGAAAAGAAAGGACGAAAAACTGCAAATGAAGCAAGAAAGAAAAAAGAAAAGAAAGCTTGTCAAAGAACAAAGACTTAGTATGTATTGATTTCTAGATTCAATTCACTATTGTTGTTCATTCGGTATTATCAATCTGAGATGTTCTGCTGCTAGCTTTATATCATACAAATAAAGGTTTAAAATACACTTAAAATAAAAATTCGAATTTTCAGGCGCGCACCAGATGAAAGTTATTTTAACATAATGATGTGCGTATGGAAAGCACAAAAGTTTTGGAAGGGCTTTGCTAGTTTCAGGGGGATATGTTTGTTATTTTTAAGGTTTTTTGTTTTGTTTTAAAAAAAAATGTACTTGGATATTCAAATTGCTTTCTTGTTAAATACATTAATTCCTTTGTTTTATTTGTATCACAATTTACTCCAGAATGCAAGTACGACAAGGAAAACTGGAGTGAATGTGATAAAACAACATACACAGTAACCAGAGTTTTGACATTAAGGGATGGAGAAGAAGAAGAATGCGAGCCAACAGTAATTGTTACCATTTCATGTAGAAAGTTTGAGCGTATTCAACACTGGAAAGCAAGAAAAATAGAGCGCAAGAATGACAAGAAGGAGAAGAAAATGTTTATTAAAGAACAGAAAAATATTTGGAAAGAAAATAAAAAGATAGTCAAAGAACAGCGTAGACGTGAGTAAATAAATGACCAAACCCAAACATAACAAAAGTAAACTTAAAATCATAACAATTAGGAACTTTCCGTAACAAACAAGCATAAGTGGATTCCAAATTACAAATACAATATATGCTAATGATTGAAAGGGTTATTTTATAGGTATACGATGTACGTCAATGTGATGTAACGGACAAAATAAACCTATAGGTCAACATACAGTCTTTAACAATGGACAGATGTCTTTTCAATATGTCAAGCTCTTTATCATATCGTAGTTTGAAAAATGACGTTTAGTTTAGTTATTCGTAAGTAAATAGAATGCTGTTTAATTTCATATTATCATGAATTTTACCTTTTTAGCTTGAAGGGTATTCCATCTTAATGATTTCCCGCGTTGTTATACATAAAAAAGATTTACTTCTCATACCGCATTTGAAAAAGGTTTTCGGAACGAATCTTAATCAGCAACACTTTTCTCTTAGTTGTTGGTTTCCGATGCATACACGGACATATACCTATATATTCAAAGACAGGCAATAAAGAACCCCCTTTGTATACTTTTGTATTGTATATTATGAATATAGTATATTGAAATATTCGTTTTCAGTCGGATGCAGTTTTGATGTTACCTTCAGTGAATGTGATCCTATATCCAACATGGTTACAAAATCGTACATACCAACAACAGATGACAATTCATGTGAAAACAGGTCATTTAAATATTCATGTGATTTGCATGAAAGATTAATGGAAAAGAAGAGAAAACGTCAAGACAAAAGAGCTAACAGAAAAATTTACAGGAAGGAGTTTAGGCAGCAGAGGCTTCGGATTTGAACTAAAGACTATAAAGTATGATCAAGAATAATTCCAATTTTCATCATGACTACAATGTATTACGACTGAGAGATATGGTTCAATCCTGCGCCAAATTATTTTCTAAACATATTAAAGTTACAGAAAAAAAGCTGTCTGGGCAGTTCTGTGGTTCCTTCCAACTTTTGTTGGATAATTTTTAGAAATCTAGAGAAACTGAAGAAAACACCCATTTTCCGTTGCTATTTTTAAATCATGACTTACTTTTTAATAAATATGGTACAAAAGCTGTTTCATAGGCTATCTGTTCTATCGCAATTGGCTAATTCATAAGCAACAGTTTTATCACCGTAGTACTGTGATAGTAGATAATGTTTTATTGTACTACGTCTATGTTTAGTCGAAATTCTAAATAAACATACATCATTTTCACCAGGAACTCGCACACAATTCTTAAGAAGATACTATAAATTTTAAAGATGATACAATGTTTATGAAACAACAGTTTCATGATACAATGGAAGATAATATGTGTCCACCAAGTCTCGTAGATGAAATATGTATGGAGAAAAGTAGTAAATGAACTTGCGACATGTACATTGCTTATCTATATCTGAAAGGTTGGGGTTGGTGGAGATATCTGAAACATTTCGATGTCTTTATATTCGTTAGTAGGTATTCCAGGTGCGGATCCAGGATGTTGAAAAGGGATGGGGGTTGACAAAACAATTAAATGTTAAACAACTGTTAAGCAAATAGTAACAGTATGTCCCAGTTTGTTTTTAAATCTTGAAACAAAATGCACAAGAGTGCACACGCTGAAATGTCTCGCCTTCTTTACTAATCATTGATATTATGTTGATAGTCCTAAATATAAAGCTTTAATACAACTGTCACATAAACTTAACATTAACCAAGTAAACTAAACATTGACCAATGAACCATGAAAATGAGGTCAAGGTCAGATGAACCATGCTAGGCAGGCATGTACAGCTAACAATTCTTCCATACAACAAGTATGGTTGACCTATTGCTTATAGTTTAAGAAAAACAGACCAAAACACAAAAACTCAACTATAACCACTGAACCATGAAAATGAGGTCAAGGTCAGATGACACCTGCCAGCTAGACATGTACACCTTACAATCCTTCCATACACCAAATATAGTAGACCTATTGCATACAGTATAAGAAAAACAGACCAAAACACAAAAAAACAACTATAACCACTGAACCATGAAAATGAGGTCAAGGTCAGATGACACCTGCCAGCTAGACATGTACACCTTACAATCCTTCCATACACCAAATATAGTAGACCTATTGCATACAGTATAAGAAAAACAGACCAAAACACAAAAACTTAACTATAACCACTGAACCATGAAAATGAGGTCAAGGTCAGATAACACCTGCCAGTTGGACATGTACACCTTACAGTCCTTCCATACACCGAATATACTAGACCTATTGCTTATAGTATCTGAGATATGGACTTGACCACGAAAACTTAACCTTGTTCCCTGATCCATGAAATGAGGTCGAGGTCAAGTGAAAACTGTCTGACGGGCATGAGGACCTTGCAAGGTAAGCACATACCAAATATAGTTATCCTATTACTTATAATAAGAGAGAATTTAACATTACAAAAAATCTGAACTTTTTTTCAAGTAGTCACTGAACCATGAAAATGAGGTCAAGGACATTGGACATGTGACTGACGGAAACTTCGTAACATGAGGCATCCATATACAAAGTATGAAGCATCCAGGTCTTCCACCCTCTAAAATATAAAGCTTTTAAGAAGTTAGCTAACGCCGCCGCCGCCGGATCACTATCCCTATGTCGAGCTTTCTGCGACAAAAGTCGCAGGCTCGACAAAAATGAAGACCCAAGGAATGACCCATTTCGGTTTTGAAAATAATTTGATTTGTATAAAACGTAATTTTCTCTTGTATAAATCTCCTTTTTTCTTACTACCACTGGCCTGCAAACTGTACTAATTGTAACTCCTTATGTAAAATTGGTCTTGCATGTTTTTGACTGCTCTTTACATGACTTCTTCATTATGATGCTAAAAATCTTTCATGTAAATGCATTTGGCATAGGAATACCAGTTTTTCTCTATCGTATCGGGATAGAGAATATTAAAAAATGTCGCAATTATATTTGGACACATCATTTCCTCGGAATCACAGTAGTTCAACAAGCTTCAAGCAGATGTTATTCATATGTGTAGCCAGTCTTCGTGGTTGGTTCGGTATTCTGGTTGAATTTATGAGACTGAAAATAGCATATTACCTATCTGTAAAAAAGAAATACCAAATAAATATATGACCTCCAGACACCCTTTAATATTTCGATCGACAAGTTGGATATAACTTCAAAGTGATAGCTGCCCACCTCCAACACTTCTAAAGAAAACAAACCCTGACAAACTGTTACGTTATGTAGTTTCCATTAAGAATCATAAAATGTAGGTAAAAAAGATACTCTTTTATCAACTTAAAAGTGTTAATATGCTTGTAAGCTCAATTTTTCGTGGTGGAATATCTTTTAATCGATCACAAAAATGCAAACGTGTTCATAATTAACTTGAAAGTTGTGTTATCAGATTGCAAGATCGAGGTTCGAAAGAGTAAAATTTTGATTCTTTGATTTATTACCACAGATTTTATCATACAAATTGAAAACAATACTTTACAAATATTGACGATCGAATCAAAAAAATTAAAAAGGCCAAATAAAGTACGAAGTTGAAGATCATTGAGGATAAAAAATTTCGGAAGGTTTCGCCAAATACAGCTAAGGTAATCTATTCCTGGGATAGACAATCTTTAGTACTTCAAAAATTTCAAAGTTTTGTAAACAGTTAATTAAAATCATGACCATATAAATGATAATTCATGTCAATTAGATCATGTATATCTGCTAGATCAAGTTAATTGAATCAGGGCTTATAACAAGGAGACTTCTGAAATGGTTTCCATGATTTTCTTTGCAATAACAATTTGTCAGATTGCAAGATCGAGGTTCGAAAGAGTAAAATTTTGATTCTTTGTTTTATTACCACAGATTTTATCAAACCAATTGAAAACAATACTTTATAAATATTGACGCTCGAATCAAAAAAATTCAAAAGGCCAAATAAAGTACGAAGTTGAAGATCATTGAGGATAAAAAGTTTCGGAAGGTTTTGCCAAACACAGCTAAGGTAATCTATTCCTGGGATAGATAATCCTAAGTACTTAAAAAATTTCAAAGTTTTATAAACAGTTAATTATAATTATGACCATATCAATGATAATTCATGTCAATTAGATCATGTATATCTGCTAGATCAAGTTAATTGAATCAGGGCTTATAACAAGGAGACTTCTGAAATGATTTCCATGATTTTCTTTGCAATAACAATTTGCCATAAATTGCTTTTTATTGGAATGCTCAATAAATAAATATATTGCATGGTCTCATTAAACATAATCAACAAGAAGTTGCATTCAATGACAGGCAAAGTATACCCCTCTTGTCGGAAATTAAAGATATATATACAGAAACTGAGAAATACGTAATGAAAGTTATGGGCAGATAGACAGATTTCATTGATGTCTGTCAAACATTCTGTTAGTGTTGGTTTACATATCTAAGAAAAAAAAACAAATCAGAACTATCATCGACTATTTATTAACCCTAGTGTAACCATAGCCTATCAAACCCCTTACCAGGTCAAAAATGGGGACAAACAAGAATAAAATGCTTCGCTGAGCGCAGCCTGATACGACCGCAGAGGTCGAACCCTGAACAGTTGGGGTAAATTTGGACACACTATTCAAGCTTGATACTGTCTGAATTTGGATTGTGATCAAATTTTTGACATAATATAGGTTTCTGACACAAAATAAATGTGGTCAAAGATCTTATAAATCCATTGCGCAATACTGTGCAATTGAAGATTTCTTCTTGAAACTTTTCAAAAATTTGAAATTTAAAAAATTTTGAAAAAAATATGAATCCCTTAAAAAAATTGGGAAAAAAATTCAAACTCAATCCCAGCCTTTCCTTTGTAGTATGGAACCTTGTAGTACAATTTCAGAGAGATCCACACACTTACACACAAGTTATTGTCTGGAAACTAGAAAAATGCTTGTTTTTGGCCCCTAATTCCTACATGTTGGGGCAATTAACCCCAAACTCAATCCCAACCTTCCCTTTGTTATATGGAACCTTATGGTACAATGTCAGAGAGATCCATACACTTACACACAAGTTATTGTCTGGAAACTAGAAAAATACTTGTTTTTGGCCCCTTTTTGGCCATTAATTCCTAAACTGTTGGCCCCCATAACCCCTAAAATGAATCCCAACCTTCTACTTGTGGTATTAAACATTGTGGTACAATTTCAGAGCAATCGAAATACTTATACACAAGTTATTATCCTGAAACTAGAAAAATGCTTGTTTTTGGTCCCTTTTTTGGGCCCCTTTATTCCTAAACGGTTGCGATCATCATCCCCAAAATCAATCCCAACCTTCCTTTTGTGGTAATGAACATTCTGAAAAAATTTCATAGAGATCCATTCGCTTAAACTAAACCAATGTGTCTTCGGACGACGACGCAGACGACGACGACATCATACGATCCCAAAAAATTTTTTGCGGTTGGTCGTATAAAAAGATATGTATAATGATAAAAATCAATGTAATCAGTGTTAAAAGTTCTGATTGATTGTTGGATGGCAATCTTGTCTAGCTTCAAACATTTTATTTTATGATTCATTTTCATGACATTAAAAAATATTAATGAGGTGTGATTATATACTTCTTTGCACTACATTGACAAATAGATGTTCTATCTATCGGCAGGAACTCTAGTTATAATCATACTCTGAGGCATTATATGGATTCCAAGATCAGTTTTCTTCTACCATATGTTATCTTCTTTTGACCCCTAAACAATATTGGTTTTCTTCACCTCATGGGGCATTATCAACCATTGTCAACCAAGTAAAAATTTGACATATTTGTTTGGTGCTTTCCAATTATATGAAAAATTTACAGAGTATTTGTATGTTGTGTTTAATCACCACTGTCACAGGTTAGGGAAGGATTAAGCACGCACAAACATATCTAACTTAATCACATTCTTTATGTGCCTGTCCAAAGCAATGAACCAGTAATCAAGTGGTTGTCTGTCATATTTTTTTTTCATTTATTGTTGTAGTATTAATATGCTTGTTGGTTTTTCTTTGACTGTTATCACATTTGTCATATAGGGACCCTTTATAGGATTCT